CTCATGCCCTGTATTCTTGTTCCCAACCCCTCCCTTCTCTCTCTGCTTCCTGGCTGCTGTGACATGAACAGCTTTCCTCTGCTCAGACTCTTCCACAATGCCATTTCTGCCTTGGAGACAACACACCACGAACTGAAAACACCACCCTTTAAGGTACGGGTGTTAGAAACTGTGTCCCAGTGAAAGAAAAGTGACTAGATATTGGTAGCGCTTTTTGCATTGGAGCCAGCCTATTATGGACTGAGTCTTCTAAAAACTATAAGCCAAAATAAACCTCTCCTCCTCAGAGTTGTGGTGTGTGGCACTTTTTCCTAGCAACAAGAAAGTGGCTAACACATCAAATCACTCAATGAAATGAACCTGTTGAAAAACACCCATCCACCCCTATTAGTGGATACTCAGGTTTCCCTATGACCATTTGTTGACCAGCATTCTCTGCAGGGAGCTATTCTAATAAAAAAAAACAAAGATTGCTCCACAGTTTACAGTATGCTCAAATCACATACTAAGATTTACAAATTTGATCTGTAGAATTGCATGTCCTGTAAACGTGTTCCCATCCTCAGGTTATTCTTTATTATTGCTACATACTTATGTTCATACTCTAATCAGTTAACATTGATCTGAAATACAGATCAACAGTAACTTTTCTTTTCATGTGTTCAGAATCGTCATAACTTCATTCAAAACCTCCTTCATGTTTAACTATACCTGTCAGTCACATGCTGTTTATTGATAGTAAATGCACAATGAGATAGTGGAGCCTGCTAAAATCAGGGCATCCTGAGACTGACCTTCACCATCGTCCAAAATAGAACTTATCCATATCTACTCTCTTCTTTTTAGACCTGCTTTGGGTATTTCCATAAATATATATACATGACCATGCTCCCACCAACAGAGGCAGCCACTGCTTTTAAGAGGATATAAGGCTGGGACTTGTAGTGCTCACCTGTAATCCCAGAACTGTGTTTTAGTTACTTCCTTATTGCTGGGACAAACTATCTGATACCCACAAGTTAAAGAAGCAAAGGATTATTTCAGTTCACAATTTGTAGGGGTTTCAGTTCATAGTCAGCTGACTCCAAGGCAGAGAGGCATAACAGAGGAGAAATAGTCCATAGTGTGGCAGGCAGGAAAAAGCAGCAGTAAACCTTTGTTTCCCTTTTATCCCATTCAGGCTATAAGCCTATTGATTTGGCCGTGGTGGGCCTTCCCATTATCCATGAAGAACTATGCTTAATCTATCACACACCCTTAATCTATATTCATACCGTTCCAGCTACCTCCAAAAAGCCCCATCTATGAACACATGAGGCTTTAGGGGGATATCTAGATACAAGCCATAACAGAAGCTGAGGGGGAGAATCATAAGTTCTATTCCAGCCTGGGCATCTTACAATTTAGAGAGACCTTGTCTCAAAACAAATGAAAATTTGAAAGGCCTAGGGATGTAGCTCAGTGGGAAGGCCGTGGGTTCAATCCTCAGTACTGGAAACAGAAGGAGAATATGAGACTAGCAGGTACCCATCAAGGAGGCCTCAGTGATATGCAGGCTGGATGCACCCATGGATCTCCAGAAATGGCCAGTATATTAGTCAGCTTGCAGTCACTGTGCCCAGTTACCTGAAAAAAATATCTCAAAAGGAGAGATGTACTTTGGCTCATCATTTCAGAGGTTTTAGTCCATGGCTGCTTGGGATCATTGCTTTCAGGCCTGAAAAGGCAGAAATACCAGGGCAGAAGCATGTGGTAGAGGAAACTACTCACCTCACAGTGGTCAGGAAGTAAAGGAGAAAAGGCCAGAGGGCCCAAGATCACTTCCAGCCCTCCGCCCTTGCTGTGAACTAACTTCCTTCCACTAGGCCCCACCTCCTACAGGTTCTACAACCTCTTAATGATGCCATAAGGCTACTGATGAAGCCTTCCACACATGGCCTTTGGGAGACACTTAAGACTCAACCCACAACACTGAGAGAGAGCAGCAGCGGGGATGTGAGTGGAGATGGGGCCTTTAGTATTCAGGTGGGCACAGCAGTCATCAAATCTGAGTTGTCACTGCTCATGGATCCTTATTACTACTGTAAGGCTGGAGAGTTTAAGGGAACTCGGCTTAGAGGAAGTAAGTAGATCCTTTAATTAACTAATTATGATTTATTTACAAAGCCCCACTGAATTAATAGTGACTTTGTTCTTTGGCCTTTTCCACAGTAAAGGCACACTAAGAATTGTGTGTGGGATGATGCACATCTTCAATCTGTTTCTCCAGGCCCATGCTCCATTTCTTTCCTCTCTGCTCTGTGTCCTGGAGGCTGCTGACCTACATGGTCTGGCACCAGGCTCCCTGGGCACCCAGATGACAGGTGGTTTTGACAATGAAATAATGGAGGCAAGTGAGAGTATTTATTTATCTCCATTCTGCTACTCTCTTCTGTGTCTTCACACTGCCTGTTTGCTAGGGCTGCTGAAACAGTATCACAGACAAAGATACTTAAGCAACAGAAATCTGTTTCCCACAGTTCTGAGGGGCAGAAGTCCAAGATCAAAATTTTGGCAGCACTGGTCTCTTCTGAGGCCTCTCAGTCTTGGCTTGTAGACAGAACCTCCCTGTATTTACATGGTCTTTCCTCTGTGCATATGTTCATGTCCCAATTTTTTTCTCTTCATGAGTGTAACAGTCACATTGGATTAGGGCCTTCCCTAGGACCTAATTTTACTTACCTCTACAATATACTTATCTCCAAACATGGTCACATTTTAGCTCGTAGGGCTTTTGCCCATGAACTTGGGGGAAGTTCATGTGTTCATTTCATTTCAGCCAATAACAGATGGAAAGAGCTCCTGGTCTCATGCTTGTCCTGAGGGTATATATGGACCCATCTTGTTTTCTGAAACACTTCCTGTATTTTTGTACAGATTATTTTCTTGAGCCACCCCATTTGTGTGTACCATGTTTCTTCTGATGGATACAGAGGAGCTCTCCTTAAATAGCATCCTTTCAGGCATTGAAACTACTATCCTACCAACTGCCTTTCTACCCTCATCCATATTAGGGATTGAATCCAGGTTCTCCTGGATGCTAAACACATACTTTACCACTGAGTTATATTTGCAGCCCTTGTCAATGTTTTATGTAAGAAATCACTGCAATTCTCCCTGTTACTGGCCATTTAGGTCCACATACTCAGGTTTGTTTGATCACCATTACCCAACTCAAAGGAGATCATTTATTTTGGTACAAAGAAAAAGGATTTACTCAAAGCCAGCTCTGAGGAGATGGAGGGCCTCATCACTCAAATCACCACCTCCCTCTGTACAGGTATGTTAGCGTCTTTTACAGCAAGGCACAGTGTGGGAGGGAATGCAATGAGATAGGAGACATGTTCAGGCTTGTTCCATTTCTTCCTCATGGAAAGGAAACTGGAATTTGACCTGCTGGTGCAGCTGTCTGCATATTCTGTCCATTCGTCTGGGCTGAGAAGTGGCACAGTTCATGCTCTAGGCCTGAGGAAGTCTGGAGAAATCACCCGTTTCTACAGGAAAAAAAAATCTAACTTTTAAAGTTACATTTTGCTGTGCAGGCAACATTACCTCCTTTTTAAAATTTAAGGCTCATTTTTATTTGGGATGATCAGAGATGGACAGAGGCAAGGTTGCTAACGGAAGTAATATCATCATTTATTGAGACCCTAAAGTCTCTTTTTACTCTTTTGTCCCATGATCTTCAGGCTTCAAGATGAGGAAGACACATTTCCCTACCAGGCCCCACAGTCACCTCTGCTTCCAAAGGATTTCCAGTCCCTGGGCCTTTCCCCAGTGCTGGCATCCCAGGGCTGAGCCATTCTGTCTGCCACAGCCACCACCTCTTTCCTGAGGGAAGCTCAGCTTCTCCCTATTCTAAACCTATAAGTGAACCTTATACTTCTTAAAAAGCTCCAAACTAAAATGCTCACCTTGTTCAAAATCCTCCCTACCACTGAGATCTGGGGACAGTTAAGCGATATCTTCACGCCATCAAGACATTGTATAGGTCCACCGTGGACGCACACACTCCCCGATGCCCAAGTGTGTGTATGTTACCAGGTTCTGAGGTTATGGGCTCTCCTTCCAGAGGTGGTTTTCTAGGTTCTACTTGTCTTGAACAAATAACTGGACATGTGAAAAAGACAGAGAGGTTTTACATTCATGAAAAGAAACATTCTGTAGAGTGAGTTTCGGCCAAGTAGGAGAAAAAGTCTACTCTACAGTTTGAGAGCAGAGGACCAGGAAGGAGAACATACTAGCACCCACCTCAATGGTGGCTGTCCTGTATCTCCCACTCATCAGGCTGATGTCTGGTCTATTCCACCCTAGAGAAAGAAGACTGGGCTGTCTGGTTGGTTCCACTGGCGGGTTTTGGGAACTGTTTTGCACATGTGTCCTGGGGCTTTGTAATTAAGAGAACAGGCTCACTTCTCTAGCCGATTTGTCACACCCTAATTTCCTGCCCTCAGGTGTGAACTAAGATTAGACTGGATAGATTAGATTGGAGCTAAGACTCCTTTCCACCCCTCACCTGTTTTGAGAAGTCCAGATGGCTAGGGAGGGAGACATCCACTGCACCGGGAACTGAAATGTGAGATACTCTGGGAGCTAGCTTGGCTCCCCACAACTCTATTCTCTTTCTGGTGTGTAGGTGAGGGCTGGGGATACAGTTCAGTAGTGGAGCACAGGCCTTGCAAGTGGGAGGCCCTAGGTTCGATCCCCAGTATCTCCCAGCCACTTCATGGGCTCATGAGTTAATTGTAAGCATTTACATCGGTAAGGGCTGCTCCTTTACGGCCCACCTCTTTGGGAACATCTCAGTGCTTATAACCGCCTTACTAGATAAATACTTTTCACCAGGGCGAAGCTCCGGGTTCCAGGCATGCCCGGGCAAATCCGGGCTTTTAATCCCAGCTGGCAGCCCAGCGCGTGCGCTTTCGGCCCCGCCGCGCAGCTGGGGGCGGAGCTTCCGGCGAGCAGTGGGCGCATGCGCCTCGCGGGTCACGTTTCATCCCTGGGAAGCTGGCTTCGGCGACCGTCGCAGCTTGGTTTACGCGTGGTGCAGGCACGCTGCCTGGGGTGAGTGTTAGTCAGCATGGCTGGCTGTGGGTGACGGGGTCTGGTGCGGCTTGGGCTTCCCGGGAGGTCGCAGCCCCGCGCCCGAAACCTTTGGCCGCCCTGAAGAAACCCAGTGGCTGTGCCGGCGGAGTTGCTTCCGGTGGGCGCACCTGTGGCCGGAAGTGACATCACAGCGCGCCCACCTGAGCGGCGGGCTGGGGCGCGGGGTCTCTGTCAGTGGAGCTCGTGGGGGGGCGCTTGCGCGGGTTGGGGGAGGCTGCTGTTTACTATGCGTTGCACTTCCGGGGATGCTTGAGAAACAGAGTCGGCTGGCGCACGTCGTGGGCCTGCGACATACTCGAATGAGTGTGCGAGAAGTACGGAGCCGTCGCCTCCCAGTGCTCTGACCTGGTTTCCCATCGCATCCTCTTCCCCTTCGCTACCCTGTTCCAAGCCGTCATTCTCCCAGAATATCTCCCAGTGTCGCCTCCTCGCTCCCTCTACAGCTTGTCACCTGTACCGTAGCTCCGCTGGGCTTCTCCAGACACAAATCGGGCCATGCCGTCGTCGCCCTGCCTAAAGATTAATATAAATCTTTGCTTTGGGGTGAGATTCAGGCTCGCGCTTTCTGGACCATGAGACCTGGCCCCTCTGCCCTCCCCCGCTCAGCCAGCCGCCGCACCAAAACTCAGCTGCTCCGGCCACGAAGCCCGGAGTTCCCTGAGGACAGAGAAGGGACAGTTGCCCCGATGATGAAGCTTGGCTGTGTACTGTATGATACTCCTTAAGATTTACAGCAGTGGGGAGGCCTCATCAGCCAACCCAAAGGAAAAAATTGCTTTTCCCCCCGGCCTTCTGTGTTCCCAAATTCACCAGCTCTTCAGCACTCACCTGTCCTGTCTCATCGTGAAGTGTTTATTGTGTGGCCTGATTAAAGCCTATTCTTGCTCCAGATGGGACCGAAAATGTTACTTCCTCAGAGAGGCCCCTCAGCCTCACACCTACCTCTATGATTTCAATTAGGTTTCTCTTATTTTTTATTTTCCTCAGCGTTTCCTTATATTTCTGTCCTGAGTATCTTCAATTCGGGGCCCTTTTGTTCTACCACTTCGATTCTGAGAATCCCTAGTGGTACTCTTTCCCTAGGTTTGCTTATTATTGGAGGAGGAAGTTATTCAATACTGGGGAGTGTTGGCAGTCCATGGTTTTCGGGGGCCAACTTCAGGTACCCTCAATGTTTGTTTCCTATCAGCTCCTTTTGTCCTCTGACATTTGTTTGAGACTGTTCCCCAGGACCTATCCCAGTTTTGACCCTTGACTCAGGAACTGCCCAGATTTCCTACTTTGTGAAACATTTTCTCTGTGGTCCAGTTCAGCCTCCCTCTGTACCTACACAGATTTAGGTGTGTCCGGAGTCTTCATTTTGCCTCTGCCTGAGAAAAGTGTGTGGTGCCTTTTGGTCTCTTCCACTCTGGTCTCTTGCCGATGCTCAGCTTTCTGTGTAGGTCATCTCCCCATGCCCGTGCCAGCCATGGCATTCTCTGGTTCTTCCTCCCTCATCTTCCACACCTTCCAGCAAACCCATTGTTACTTCATTACTCCAGCTGTCCCTTCGCCACAGCTAAGCTCCTTAAAGGCATGCCCACCCCGCCACCCCCGTGGTCTCCATTGTCTTGTGTCCTGCTGACTTCACAACCCGCTACAGTGTAGTTTTTGTCTCTGTTGCTTCATTGAAACTTCTTTTACTGGGATAACAAGTGACTTGCTAATATCCAGATCCAATGTACCCTTTCTGGCTTTCTTATATGAACATGCTCTGTTGTTTTTCACTTTTAATTATACTCTCTTTCTCTTTTATCATGAGTAGTTTTCTCCAAACTTCATCATTTTTAACCTTACCTTTATACTGCAGTACTAATAGTCTTGGCTGAATTGACTTTTTTTAACTTGAAAATAAATCCTTGTATGCATGCAAATAAGAAAAACAATGGGAGTGTTGAATTCCAGTTCGTAAATGGCTCTGAATCAGAATTCTGCCTTCTATTGGAAAGGGATACTGAGCTGAGCCATCCTCCTGAAAATAATCAGAAGGCCCCCCAGAGGAAGGATTTTCCCCTCCGATGTCCATCTCTAACATTTTCAGTGTTGCCCAGATGCTTGGCATGGGATAGAACCTTGGAAACCCTGGAGCTGCTGCTTCTGGTGGGGCACCTACTTCCCACCCAGACCTTTCTCTTGAGCTCAGATTTGCATTCTGACTAATGGGACAAGGGCTCCTTGCCAAGCCCCCCTCTCCTTTCTGCTTTCTCTCTCTCTCTCTCTCTCTCTCTCTCTCTCTCTCTCTCAATCTCTCTCTCTTTGTTTTTTTTGAGACAGGGTCTCACTTTGTAGCTCAGGCTAGCTTTGAACTCACTGTATATCTCAGGTTGGCCTTGAACTTGTGATCCTCCTGCCTCAGCCTCCTTAGTGCTGGGATTACAGACATGTGCCACTAGAGATTCTGATTTGCTCAGAGCTCCTGTTCTCTGGATAGATGTTCAGCCTAGCAGTTCGTAGTGTCAGATTCATGCTGGTGTTCTCCCCTTATTGCTCTGACCCTCTGTATTAGAGGTGGCAGTGCTACTCCAGTGCAAATGATTTGTGCCATAGAAAGACAGCAGCTAAACCACTCCAGTCCCTGGATCTCAAGATTAGGTTGCTTCTATTCTGTCACCTCTCAGCTGGCTGCCCAAGTGTCCTTTGTTGACACCACTGCATTTCTTCTTTTTTTGGTTGATTTTTTTCTTACTTACAATGAGAAGCCATATACTTTGGGTCCCTTAGGAAATTAATGCCTGGAAAATTGAACTTATGTAAGTAGGAAGGTTATCACCTGAGGATTTGAGAAATCAGTGCATTAATTATAAAATACTTAGGAAACTCTAATGATCAATGAAGCCAAGAGCCTTATCACATTTTTTTCTTTTCCTTTTAGTCTGTAAAGGATGCCAAGTGAAGGGAGTCCCCACTCCTGTCAAACTCAGGAGCAGGAGCGTTTGCAGAGTCTGACTGTCAGAGCTGATGAAGAAACGCGGATGGAGCAGGAGCATGGGGGTGCTGTGGAGGTGGGGGAGCGTCTGCCCTCTCCACCCTCGGCCCAGTCTGACACTGGACCATCCACCTCTGCCGAGGGCTGCACATCAGCAGCTGTGAGGAGAGGCCCAGCCCTGCTGCACATCGACAGACATCAGATCCCTGCAGTGGAGCCCAATGCACAGGCCTTGGAGCTGCAGGGCCTGGGTGTGGACGTCTATGACCAGGCTGTGTTGGAGCAGGGTGTGCTTCAGCAAGTGGACAGTGCCCTGCATGAAGCCAGCCGTGTGGCCCAGCTCATAGATGCTGAGAAGGAGTATCAATCGGTCTTGGATGACCTCGCGTGAGTGCGGCCCTCTTCTCTTTCAGAGTTTGTGTGTAAACATGATAGGGAAACTCAGGTAAGAGAGCTATAATATTACAGAGACTTAGGAGATTTATAGAAGCTAATCTTCAGGAGATGAGGTATGGCCAGCCCTCTCCTCAGGAGCAGCGTTGCCCAGTCAGCAGGCTCAGTCCAGCTCCTGTGCTTGTGTAGCATCCTAAAGAGAGGGCTGTCCTGGAAGCCCTCAGACTCATAGGCAGGTGGCCTCAGGAGAAGGGTGCCCCAGCTTCAGGAGTTTCTTGCTTGAGATACTGGGAGCATGTACTGCCCCTACATGACATCACATTTTGCTCTGTCCTCTCGTTTCCACCCAGCTTGCTGTCCTCAAGCTGAGTATCCAGTCCCTTGGCAGCTTTTCATATTTGTATTTTTAAATATAGTGGGGAAAAAACTTTGTCCTTTTATTTTCATCTATCCTTCTTTGGCTGTCAGGAGACATGAAATCCCATGGAGATGTCGTTTATGTCATGGAGCAGACATAGTGACTGCTTGGGGGGCAGGAGGACGCTGCCAGGCTGGGTGAGGATAGGGTGGGAAAGGTGAGCCCATTCATCCTTGCCACTGGGTATTGTTCTGGGCAGGATTAGACAGATGAGAGAGAGAAGCTGAGGCCTGGGTGTAGCTGGGGATGGAGGGTAGGAGCTGGCTACCCACACTACAGGTGGCTGTTGACACTTCAAGGTGCTTCCTGCTAACTGTTCCCTGGTGTCCTTCCAGCCTCTTATTTTGTTGTTGGCCATTTGAGTTAACAGGTGCTCTTGTGTAGTTACACATGACTTTGAGTGTGGAGGGCTCTACCTCCTAATAATGACACGTCTTTTACATTGATTTGGAATGTGTCCACTTCTACAGTAGTGACAGAGGAGAATACTGCGGAGGCTCAGGCAGGGTGACACTGTGTGGCAGTGACATTGGTGCCTTTAATTGCCAATACTTGCCTTGTTTATCCTGAAATCCACAAAAGATACAAACAGCAAATTATAGAAGCATCCAGAAGATTGAATTTGGCATTTTGGAAATTGTAAAATGTAACTCTCTTGTGTCTGTTTTAGCAGGAATTTATTTTAAATTGATTTTCTTTCCTTTCACACCACAAAATTTAACGTTGTAGTGAATGAATCTTCCAGTTGTGTGAAAGAAAAATACTGTCATAGATGTATGACTTATATAAGAAAATATTTAAGTGCTTCTTGAGACTTTTTCAAACTTTGGGAGATTTCCATAACAGCTTTTAAAACCCTGTGTCTGCCTTTCTTCATACAAAAGGATAACTTATTATGCATTGTCCTAGAGCAATGTTTTGAATAAAATAAATACTTAAAAAATACCTGTACAGGTGTGATGAGCAAAGTGTAGTGGAGCAAGTCTGAAACTCTAGCAGTCGGGAGGCTGAGGCAGTAGGATTGCTGTGAATTTTTAAAAACAAAAAACAAAAAATTCCTTGTGGAGGGAATGAATCTGTTCACAAATGGGCGTGAACTGATTTTAATTAGCCAGAGAAGAAAAATTTTTGTAATCTTGAACTTCTGACCTATTTGTGGGCAGTAAGAATGTGTATTCTTAGTTTTTTTCATCTTTTAGTTCATAAGAAGTAAAAGAGCCATGTTTTTAGCACTTGTCTCTATATTGTGCTATAAAAATGTTAACATAGTGGAAAATAGATAACTTGTCTTATTTTTCAGGTCATGTACGACATCTCTGAGGCAAATCGATAAAATTATTGAACAGCTCAGCCCTCAAGCTGCCACCAACAGAGACATCAACAGGAAACTAGATTCTGTAAAACGACAGAAGTATAATAAGGTGATTTCAAATAGTTCATTGAGTATTACATTTTTGAAAAGTCACTGTTAGCAAAAAGCACCTTTAAGTGCCAGCAGCCACCCGTACTTTGGGTATCCACCAGCTCCCACCTTCCATCCCCAGCCACACCCAGGCCTCAGCTTCTCTCTCTCATCTGTCTGATCCTGCCTAGAACAATACCCAGTGGCAAGGATAAATGGGCTCACCTTACCACCTCCCCACCCTGTCCTCACCCAGCCTGGCTGTGTTAAGCTCATTTAATAATTTAGAGTATTTATACCTATAAGTGCAAAAGCAAATATGTTTAGTTATAGTAGAAATTTTGAGTTGCTTTTATACATTTATTCATCAGCTATTTCCCTGTCACATCTTTCATTACACAGTATTTTTAAAAACCCACACGCACAGTGCACACATATACTCGTGCCAGTATCCCTGCATCCCTGTGTGAGAGGCTCCTGTGTGGCTCTGCGGCCTCTTCCCTCCTGGGCCTGGCACAGTCTTTCTGTCATCATGTGCTCGGCTCCTGCTCAGCCTGCTAGTCTCTCAGCCCCATTTCTGGTGGACTTTGTTTTTCTCCTCAGCTTTTGCTTGCATAGATTGTCTCCACTTTGTTTCTGGCTGATGTACCCTTCCCTGCTCACACACCTCTGCTTTCTCTCCTGAGAGGCTGGCCCTTCATCCCGACCCGACCTTGGCTCTTAGTTAGCACTGAGCCACACTGGGGCTGTACTCAGGGATGTTAAAGATGTTAAGGTGATATTTTGATGTGGTTTGAAACTTCTTTAGGAGCCGTGTATCCCTTTCTGGAAATACCTTGCAGTAGAAAGGAAGACTAGTTTTGATCATTTTGGTTCTGATGGCGTCCTTATGTCCCTGAGTTCCACATGTGTGGGTGTGTACCAACTCCCTTCAGGTGGCCCCCCTTTTCCTTCTACCACTGTCTGTTATCTTTACCACCTGTCTTTCTTACCTTGAGAGTAGCAGTCCAGAGGTCAGAGCCAGCAGTAGCCCAGAGCACACAGGGTCCCACAGACCAGAGAGGGGACATTTAGCCTCTCATGGGAGTATGTGAATTAAATTGATGGGCGGGAACCTTTGCCCTTTGGCTTCTGGTTGGCTGGGATTTCCAGAGTGGAGAGGACGAGGCTTGGCCCCTTGAGGTCCTGCTCTAACTTAATGATACTTTCCTGTCTTTCTTTAGCAGCTCTTCAGTGTTTAGAGATAGACTGTTCAAAGAGAAAGTGGATTGAGCTGAGAAAGAGGCTGATAAAAAACACAGGTGACTGGCAGGTACCGTTTATGTTTAAGGTTTCCCCTTGTGCCACATTCATATTTGGAGTTGAACTGTTTTGTGTGTATGTGGTGCTGGAGATTCAGTACATGCTAGGCAAGCACTCTACCACTAATGGAGTGGAAACTTTCTTTTCTCTGTGAAGAGGAGTCGCATACCCCAGGCCCAGTTAACTGGGAAACTGAGTTCTGATGGTATAAGGGAGACAAGACAGAGAAGCATCTCGGGTGAGTGTGTGATGAGGCGTAGCGGAGTGTGTTTGTCTTTGAAAGTTTTGCGGCTAGGCAGAATGCTGTAAAGGACATCATTACTGCAAGTTATCAGAGGGAAGTGACTCTTAATTGACATTCATGTTTGTGTTTCTTATCTCTCTGGCCTGCTGTTCTCCATAGCCCATTGGCTGGAGAGCCCAGAAACACAAGAAATTCTGTTTGTATCCAGTGTGTCATAGGGGACTGAGTAAGACAGTCATGCTTCTCTGGTCAGCACTGTGATGTGAGTGCTCAGGCACTTGGAGAGCTGGTGCCATGCCATGCAGAGGGACTTGCTTCAGGAAAGTAGGAGTTGCTCAAGTAAAGTTCTTGATAGTGATAGCAACGTATGGGGTTTCTGTTTCATTTTCACATTACTCATCATTACAGTTTTAAAATTTCATGGTGATACCATTTGTTAACAATCAATCCCTGCCTTACTGTATTCTGTATCTGGTATTCACCATTCAAGGAACAGCAGCTGAAGAAGATCACTGCAAAGCAGAAACGCCTCCAGGCCATCCTTGGAGGAGCAGCGGTGAGAGTGGAGCTGGACCACAACAGCCTGAAGGAGGAGGATGCAGGTGAGGATGCTGGCAGCAGTTTCCCCAGGGTCATGAGTTGATGTCTGTACCACTGAGTCAGTGCAAGGCATCCTTTAGTCTTAGCCTGGGCTTTGGGAAAACAAAACAAAAAAATGCATTTCTTTGCTTTAATGTCAAAATGGACTTACGAAATTTTATCTCCTATAGAATTGAACCTCTTGAATCATATGGAATTTTTAGAAAATACAAGTAAATTTTTAACTCTGTTCAGTGAGGCTGCTGACACACATTTTGTTTTACATTTAATAAACTGGAAATCTTAAGCATTCTTCTACTGTTAGGTAAAGACAACTAACATCTTAATTGAATTACATTCTGGATGCTTAGCATCATCAATCAGCGTCTACAGAGCTGCTCTTGCCTCTCTTTAAGGAGCATGTCAGCAGGCTTTCCAGGTGTCCATTCTGTTGTTTAAGAAAAGTCTTTCAGGTTAAAACCATGGCCACAGTTTCATTCACATTTCTGCATGGGATGATTGTCTTGGGGAAGAGCTTTTAGGATAATAAATCCAGAGCATAAGCTCTGGATCTAAATGTTTCTTGCAGGGGTTGTGTATGTGTGTGTGCTTGTGTTTGTGTGTTTAGAAATTACTGTTTTGTGCTCATGTAGTGCTTGAAATACAGATCAAGCCTTCTTAGTGTTTAAGATTTCTAAGCAAGTATTTTCTTCCAACTCCAGAGAGTTAATTGCTCAGACAAGAGAATTGTTACAAAGAACATAATAACAGGTCATAGAAAAAAATACTAGGTGTGGTTTTAAAGTTCAGATGCGCAAGATTTATTAGTCCTAGGACCAGGGTTTCTGCCATTGTGGTGTCATACTCTCCTTGGTAAAGAGCATTTGTTCCTGTCTAGCTGTGTAAAACCTACTGTATCTCACTTCTGTTGCTGCTTTGCTAAAACTTCATCCAGTGTTGATAGATGACTCCTCAAACCCAGGAGCCCTATTCACCCTTACTTCCTTCAGCAACTTGTCCATAATCACGGATGCTTCCTGTGCCTGCTGGAGCCTGTCTCTCTCCTGGGTTCCTTTACACACTCTCACCACTCCTGCATCATTATTTTTGGTTGCTTTTCTGGCATTACCTTAAATTGCTGATGTTTCTGAGGATTTCTTGTTGAGTCTCCTTCTGCTTCTGCTCCTTGAATAGTCTCCTTTATTCCCATGGCTTTTGCAGCCACCTAGGCTCTGACATCGTACAAATCTGCAGCTCTGTTTTGAGCCCCTGATTGCTGTGCTCTCTCCAGCTGGCCAACAGGCAGCGTTTGAGATTCCTCTGTCCCACTGCGCTCTCTCCTTCCCCCTGACTGCAGGGGCAGAGGAGCAGGCCTTCGAGCTTTGGCCTCAGGGGTGAGCTCTGCATTGCCAGGGGTGGGAGTTGGCTGCCTTCTTTAGCTTGTAAGTCTGTCTGAATCTGTGCGATGGTACACTGTAAGTGCAGTAGCCCCTACTGCTGTCCAGGGGCAGCAGCCTGCTCTCCAAAGGGTGATCCATTTCACGGGTGACAGCTGAGATTGCCTGGCAGTCCTTTTGGGGAGTAGGTGGGTGAGGAGCAGTTACAGATGAAAGGAAACTGCAGAGGGCGATGAGGCTGCTTACTCTCACTTTTCCTATTCCCCATTATACTGGACAGTGTAGGAGTGAAAGAAAAGAAGCACAGAGCATAAGGATGAGAAAGAAATGAAGTCACCATTATTCATGTAATACATGATTGTTTAGGTAGGTATTAGTAAGCTATTAGAATTACTGCGTGAGTTTAGCAGTACCACTGAGTACATGACTAGTATGAGTAAGTCACTTTTGTTCACCAGGGGGAAAAAACCCTAAAATTTAATAGAGATGCCAGCTGCAGATAAAACCAAATAACTAATCTGGGTGAGATGACGCATACCTATAGTCCTACCTAATTGGGAGGCTGAGGAAGGGGGATTGTAATTTCAAGGTCAGCCTGGGTAACTTAGTAAAACCCTATTTCAGAATTAAAAAGGGGAAGGAGTATAGCTCAGTGGTAGGGCGCTTACCTAGCATGCTCCTGGACCCAGTACACAAAAACAAAAACCAAAGAAACTCTATAAATAAACTTAGCAAAATTACAGTTTTCTTTTTTCTTGTTTTTTTTCCGGTACCGGGAGTCAAACTCATGACCCCGTGCTTGCCAGGCAGGCACTGTGCCACTGAGCTAAAACCCCCAGCCCCTAAAATTACAGTTTTCTGTAGTGTTTCTTACATTAAAAACTATATCATTGAAAATGTAAGAATACTTAAGTAAATGGAGAAGTATACTAGGATCATGGATTGGAAGATGCAGTATTATAATATTATTCTCCTAACCAGCTACAGTTTCAGTGAAATTCCAATGTAAATTTCACATTTTTGTTTTCTTAAAGGCAAAGGGAATGAAGAAGGAAGTACAGGTTGAGGGTAGAAGTCATTAACAAGCTAATTTTAAAATTTGTATAAACTGCATTGGGCCAAAAATAGCCTAGGTGATTGTTTGTTTGTTGAGACAGGGTCTCACTATACCTTGAACTTACTGTGTAGTAAGGTGACCTTGAGCTCCCAGTGATCCTCCTGCCTCAGCTTCCAGAGTATTGGGGCAGGTGATCTTGAAGAGGAACAGATGTCAAGATTTGTCATAAAGCTGTAGTCATCACAACAGTGTTTTTAGCACAAGAATACACAGGCTGACCAGTGGGACAGAACAGCAGCCCAGCCAGCAGGCCCAGCTGTACATGCCTACCTGACCTGTGACAAAGGTGGCCAGCAGTGCTGTCGAAAAGAACCCAGTTATGCTGGCTTAATCCACAGAAAAACAGTGAAACCCATTGCACTATGCACAGGAATATGAGTAAATTCTATTCACAGGATAGATCTGAATGTTAATGGTAGAATAAAGCTGTAAGAGTGTAACATTGAGAAAACATTTTTATGATTTTGGGCTAGGCAGAGTCTTAAACAGAATACAAAAATCTCTGAAGGAAAGAAGGTTAAGTGTGGTGTGTTAAAAATTAAGCCTTCTGTTTGCCTAAACATAACATTGAAGGAGTGAGAAGGTAAACTGCAGAGTGGAGGGGAACTTGCAAAATACGTGTGAATCAAGGGGCTTAGGTCTAAAAGGTTTGAAAAACTAGAAGACTTTTAAGGCAAACAAAGACCTCAGCATTTTCTACACGAAAGATCAGCAAATCTAGGAAAGGCACCTTGTTTCATTAATCATCAGGGAAATGCACATTACAGCCACAGTGTGGCCCCACTGCACCTACTGGAGTAGCCAAAGTGAAATGCAAAGGTTTGGACAATTGGAATTAAGACTCTGGGTGGAACTTAAAACAGTACCACTTTGCAAATCTCTTTGGCCGTATCTACTAAAGCTTAACAAACCCAGAGAATTGTATACATTTATCACCAGGGATATGTATGAGAGGATTCATAACAGCATTATTCATAGTAGCCAAACCTGGAAATCACCCAGATGTCCATTAACAGTAGGAATGGAGAAGTTACACCGTGGCCATATAGAATACTAATAACAGTTAACCAACTGCAGTTTCATTGAGCAAGTCAGTATGCATTGCTCAGCCTAATGCTGAGCAAAAGCAGGTGGAGACAGGAGCACACACAGGTACAGAGCCAGATGCAACTCATCCAGCGTTGTCTCTGGGTTTTCTGGTGATTCCTGTTACTTGATCTGGATGCTGATATATGATTATGTATTTTTTTCTGAGTATTTATTGAGCTTACAACTTGTGCATTCTCTCTTCTGCATTTTAGTACAAATTTAATGAAAAACTGGCTGAGGTACCATTGGGCTGCAAGACCTATAGATTTTAGAATACAGATTATTACCTATTTAGCTGGAGAGCAGTTTTACCTAATGACAAAGGAATGATTTCTGGGTGACTTTATACTTGTTGTGAAATATCTTCACATTTTACTTCACCTTTTCAAGTTGGTTCCCGTATCTAACACAGTGCTGTTTCCATATCTAACACAATGCTGTGAGGGGAGTTTTCTCTGTGTTGTCCGTGTGGCAGCCATCAGTCAGTATCTTTCGAGCACCGCAATATGGCAAGTGTAGTTGTGGAACTGAGATTTTAGCTAATCTAAATTTAAATAGCCATAGGTGACTGGTAACTACTGTGTTGAGACTGCAGAGCTGAAATTTTGCTTTTCCTGTTTAGGTATGTGCTGTTTCCTTAACTACCTGCTTTCAGTTTTATTGTCTCTCGAATTGAGGTCCATCTGAATGCTGGTGTATTAGCAACTGCATGGAAACTTGGGAGGCTACTGCTCAGGGCTACTCCTTGGTTGATAAGGAAACATAGTTAAATATACCTGCAACTAATTTATATACTAATAGGCCTAGCTTTGGATGTACAGAGAATATGTTTCTAATGTGATAGTTTTATTTGAATTTAAATTTATTATAATTGATACATAAAAAGGTAAGCATTTTTATATATATGGATACTGTGATATTTTGATGCATGTATATATTGTGTAATGTTTAAATGGGGTGCTAGATGTATCTCCTCAAACATTTATCATTTCTCTATGGTGAAAGCATTCAGACTCCTTCCATCTAGCTTTTCCAGATACATTATTGTTGCTGTGTCACCCTCCTCCGTGAGAGCACACCTGGACTTCCTGCCCTGACTGTGACTTAGTGTAGTGCCCCTAGGTCAGCAGACCCTATCTTTCTCTCCCGGCGCTCTCTCCCCAGCCCAAGGTAACTGCCGTGCCCCTCTCAACTTCTGTGAGGTTCCATATCTGAATGAGATCCTCCCTGCTTGTCTTTCTCTGTGGGCTTATTTTCCTTGACGTGATGATCTCCAGTCCCATCTGTGCTGTCCCAAATGAGAGCCCTTTGTTCTTGGTTATGGCTGATTAGTGTTCCATGGTAATGTATATGTACCACATTTATACAGCGTGATCTTTTGGAGAAAAGTTCCTGAGAAATCACGTTTATGAGCAGCAGTGTATTAAATATGGCGTGATAACTGCTACCATACATTTTACTGTTAAGATTTAGTGCACCAAATGTATGAGTTCTGGTAGTTGCCCGCTGTTGATTGAATAAGTGAACATTTCTTACTTACTCTGGGAAGTTTGACGCTGGTCCGTGTTTCCATTGTGTTTCAGAGCCGGGCCCGTCCTGCCTTGGCAGCATGCTTATGCCTGCCCAGGAGACCGCCTGGGAGGAGCTCATCCGCACCGGCCAGATGACACCATTTGGTACCCAAATCCCTCAGAAAACAGAGAAAAAGCCTAGAAAACTAATGCTCAATGAAGCGTCAGGCTTCGAGAAGTATTTGGCAGATCAAGCAAAACTGTCTTCTGAAAGGAAGAAACAAGCTGCCAATAAAAGAGCATCCAGAAAAGCCCCAGCCTCGGTCAAGTCTGAGCCAAGTGCAAGATCAAAAGAAAACAAACCAAAGCAGAAAAACAAAGTTCTCTTGAAAACAGACAGGCGCTTGAAGAAGCACATCAGGAAGCTCCAGAAGAGGGCGCTGCAGTTCCAGGGGAAAGTGGGGCTGCCCAGGGGGAAGAGGTCCCTGGAGGTGGAGGTGAGGCCGCAGGCCGAGGGAGACTCTGAGGGTGACGAGCCCCGATCCTGCCCCACGGAGGGGGAGGAAGAGGGAGACAGAGAGGAGGTAGGAGCCAGCCTGTCTGGAGATGGCGCAGACTGTGAGCTGAGGCCTGTGCTCAGGGGCCACAAACACCAGAAGAAAGTCCCAGTGCGGGAGAGTGATGATGACTTCTTCCCAAGTTCTGGGGAAGAAACTGAAGCCACAGAAGACAGAGGAAGACCAAGTCGCAAAATAGTGAGGTGCCGCGATGATGGTGATGGAGAGTATTATAAGCAGCGCTTAAGGTCAGTCGACAGCGCCTGGGAGCAGGTGCTTGCTTGGTGCTAGGCGGTAGCTTGGTACTGTGTAAGGATTCTAGATGCAGTTGACTAGACTCTGCTATACCCCATTAGTGCCAACGTGGGACTTCGGCAGCATGGCCTGCTAAAGCCAGTAGCCAAGTCCTCCCTGTGGCTGACGCGAGGGTTCTGGGTCTTTATTCAGATCAGAGCATTGGAGGAAGAGGTCAGGGAAAGGCTGGGGCAGGAGGATGGAGAGCACCAGAGTGTGGGCCATGTGGCCTTCACTCGGAGTGGTTACCCTGCAGTGAGTGTCAGGACAGGCAGAGGTTATATTGTTCGTAAGTCCTAGGGTGTTATTTTTGTGCTTTTGTTCTCCCTTTGAAACAGGATAGTGACTGCAGAGGCTTCAAGCTTACTTTCTTAAAGCCACCTTCCTTGCCTTGAGAAAGACAACCTTTGCAGAAGCATGACCATCATCCTGCCAAAAGTATACTTGGTATGCGCGGCATGCCTTCCATTTCCTGGCTGTTTGTGCCAGAACCTACACTTGGTGTTGACCCCTGTGACTGGCAGTGTGTGATGGTGTGATATAGGGAGGTCACAGGGAAGTGAAGGTGTGGAATGTGCAGTCACAATCACTGTGGCCATGTGTTCTGCAAGCCAGGAGGGCAGGTCTCACACTGCAGCCCTCTCTGCAAAGTCCCCAAGCATGTCACATGCATTAGCTCTAGGAACCCTGAGGAAGCCAGGGAAAGGGATCACAGTACTTTTTAAATATTTAACAAGGAAATGGCTTTTTCCTAATCCAAAACAGTTTTCTATTTCTAAATGGGAGGAGACCTAGTATGTTGTATTTCTCTTAGCTTTACACTGGGCTTCATGAGTAAAAGGCTGACTGGCTATTTTGTTTTGTTGACAGTTGCTCGTGACCTAAGTGCAAATCCAACCTTCTCAAAGCAAATGCACCAGTGTTGTTTAAAAATAATATAGGCCCCATGGCTTAAATCCAGCTCTTATGCAGTAGGAGCTGAGTGGCTGAGTGGCTGAGTGGCTGCTATTTGTCATTTCCTCTGCAGCTTTAGTTAGTGTACACTGTTAGTGTCGGTAACATTGTTTGAGGAATATTGTTCAATACTCTTGGACAGTGAGTAGTGTTGGTCCTTTTCTTAACTACCATAGAAGATTAATAAAAGTGTTAATTTTCACATATTGATTATAAATGGAGCAATATATATTCTCATTAAAGTGGGTCAATATTAAATATATTTAAAATATAACAGGATTTTGATCAAGAGCAATTTATTTTGATTGAATTTTAAGTATGGGTATAGTTTAATTTCAGGGCAATAAGTTTGTCTTAATAATGTTAAGATTGTAAAACAATTTATTATTTCCAAAGCCATATCATAAGCTAATTTTTTTCCTAAAATTACAGTAAAATCTCACATGAATTTCAGAAATATCAATAACTCTAATTGCCACCAAAATACGATAGCTCTTAAATTTTTATAGCTAGTTATTAAGGCTGTTAAGCTGCAGATACCACATTGAAATGTTTGTATTACATCTCCTTTGGTACTTTTTGGATTGGGGGATGTTAAAAGAAAATAAAATGTTCAGGATTGAGAAGCATATTAAGAACATTTGAGAACTTTCAGTCATTCTGTAAGTTGTTACTTGTTGCTGATCTTTGTAGGTGATTGAAATAGTAATGGCATTTCCTTGAGTGAAGGACTTATGATTGCTTATGTTTGCAATCTTCGATGACAGGTGATCACAGTAAAGCCATATAGTTTATGATACAGAAAATGAATCTTTCTTAGTGGTTAGAATTTAGAAGGATGTATCCAGGCTGGGAGCTTTGTATAAGACTTAACAAATACACATTGGTGATGGCAGGTTAGTTATTATGGTCTTTTAAGCTCTCGGAAGTGAGAATAGGAGACTGCTACACAGCTCATCCCCTTTCTTCTTTCAGCTTGAGAGTCACAGCCTTTCATCATCTCTGAGTTGTGCTGACCAGGTGCCTGTTTGACCAGGTGCTTTAGGTAGGAAGTTCTTGTCGGGCCTTTTCTACAGCATGGCCTTTCCTGCAGCGAGGCAGTGGCAATCATGATCTTGTTTTCTGTGATTCTACCCAGAACCTCAGATCAGTCAGTCTTGGCTGTCGTGACTACATTTTAAACTCCTGTGCACTTTCCTTTGCCATCCTCAGTGGTGTCCTCTGTTGGTTATTGTACTGGCTTTTAGCCAGGATGAACTGCTGCTCAGGAGTGCATGTTCTGTGGGTTCTTACTCATGAAGGTGTGTGCACCGTCTGCTCGTTTCCACTAGGGCATAGTTTTTTCTCAAAATATGTTGTGACTTTAGAAATCTCAGGCCTAGGAGCTCTAGGAGCTAGATGAGACCAGCAAAACTAATGTACATTCAGCATTTCAGTGGTATGTCTTGGTAAGCACCTCCTGTCACTTGACTGGTCCAGGCTGGAAGCCAGGACAGCCCAGAGCCACCCAAAACACTGAACTGTCCTCAGCAGGGTGGTCAAGGACAGTGGGTCCTGCGTCCAGATCTTGTTATGTTTGGTTGTTGACTGGCTGCCCTGTGGAGAGGGAGGTCAGCTTCCACGCTTCCTTTCTGCCCTACTGTGTATGTGCATGTCTGCACCTCAGGGCTGGCTTGGAGGGTTCTGTGCAGGACTTATGGACTGTTAGTATGTCTGTGGACTGGTAGGACCTGGCCATGCAGGGAATAGTAGACTCAGACTGAGAGGTTGGGAGAGGCTGGAGGAGGCTCATTCTGGTGCAGGACCTTGACTGTTGTGTGGCTCAGGTATGTTGATAAGGTTCTTGTGCAGGTTCAGAACTTTCCACATTTGCCCCCAAACTTCAGGTTCATCACTGAGAGGGAAAGGGGACACAGCATTCCTCTGGGTGGTCTGGTGGCTGCGACCTGCTGAGGGGCTGTCCACTTGAGGATGGAAAGGCGTGTGTGCTTCACCTGGCCTGCCTGTGCCCATCTCTGGGGAGTGGTCACCTGGCCAGTGGAGGCTGGGACCCTGTTTGTTTGCTGGGAGAGAGTGCCACATCCTTTGATGATATGTGTCCTGGTGCGGGGATCAGGGAGGGCACAGCAGCATTCAAACCAGCTGACCGTCAGCCTTGACATAGTAGAACAGAAGTGTCTCAGATTCGGTCCTCTTCCCATAGTGGTCAGCACTGCTTGGGGTGAGTCTCCTTGCTGGTGGGAGTAGGGTTGGCATTTATCATTTAGCGCAGACCCAGAAGTTATTACTTATGTTTGCACCTGCCAGCTATTAAAGTTGCTCAGGTAACTGTGCCTGCTTCTTAGCAAGGAGCATGGTCATGGACGGAAGCAAAGCGCTCAGCCCACGCTCTGATTCTGCAGGATTAAGGGAGCCCTGCCAGGGGAGGTGCTGGCTTAGGAGGCTCCCACATGGGGCTGCAGGACAGCACTTTGAGAAAGTGTGCCTGGGTTGTTCTTGTGCATGGTCCACTTTGGGAATTAAGAGATGTCTGTGAGTTGGGGTTTTTTTGTTTTTTGAGGTTTTTTTGGTAATTCTGGGATTTGAACCCAGGGCTCTGCACATGTAGACAAATACTGTACTGCTAAGCTACACCCAGCCTGCCATAAATTGATTTCATATACTTTTTTCCTTTCAGTTCTTCTATCAGTTTCTCTGGAGTCCTTTATGTGTGCTCTGTGCAGTGGGAGAGGGCCCAGAGCGGAGCCTTTGGGTCAGGTCATTCAGCCAACACTGCACTGAAGTCCACTAAGTGGATTGATCCTCTGTTTCTCATGCCCCCGAATGCCCAGCACATGGGAGCCTGGGCCCAGCTGTGGTCAGGGCTTCTGGGCCTGGAGGTGGCAGGCCACAGTCCAGGAGAGCTGAGTACTGTACTCGTGCTGCAGCCGAGCTCCACTGATTCCTCGATGGGGCTGGTGGCGGTCTCCATTGTCACAGACTTGTTCAGCAAGAGCTGCGGGGAATTGGAAAAGGGATTGTTGCTAAGGATGTTGGGGTTGGGGGCCGCTCTTTACACAGCCTGCAGCCACCCGAGGGGGCTGCTGAGGTGAACCAGCCCATCTCCCCACCCTCACCCTGGTCTGTAAGTGCAGTTGAATTCCGAGGCCAGCTCCTCGGGTGAACCAGTAGTGGGTGAAGCTGCTGAGATGCAGCGTGGAAGCCATCAAGGTGGAGCTGCTGCAGGGGGAAGGTTTTGCCCTTCCCTGCCTTTCAGCACTTCCAAGGGTCCTGGTTTTTAAGACTGTAGTGGTGTTATGTCCTGAAACTATGCCTCTATTTCTTGTTTATATTCTTCACGACGCTAGTCTTTAATTATGTGCACACCTATCTTCACATTGTTGTAATTATCGTAGGCAGTACAAGCACTGTACTGTAGCCCTTTCAAGGGAATCAACTTGCCCACTGTCTGTCAAGAGGTGAAGCTGAGTTTTGAAGCACAAAGCACCCTAGGAATGTTTCTTGCCTTGTGGCATTGGGAGAGGTGCAATATCTAGGTGCGACCACAAGATGGTGCCGAGAACCACCGCTTGGCTGCCTCTGTCTCTGAGGCCCTAAAACCAAACCCGAAACCTAAGCAAGAGTCTGTCTGAGCTGGAGAGATGGGGAGATGGCCAGGGAAACTGGAAGACCTGACAAGAGCAGCGTGGGAGGGGACAGTGTTGACCTCATGGTTTGATGTAAACTGAGTCTGCAGGTTGAGTGTCACTCTAACTTGCCGTTAATGTATTTTTGCTTTTAAATGTTTTGTGCCCCATTTTAAGCTTTATTTTGTGTGAATTAACTTTGAATTGGAAAAGGCCTCTAAGAACTCCACTTTTGTGGAATTCCTATGCAATATGCTCGGGTAGTCTGCATGGCTTTATAATGCTCCTCACTGTCCTGCCCCGTGAGCACCCGGCTCTGCGGCCAGCTGTGAGCTGGGTCCTGGATTGGAGGTTTGGTTTTATGCACATAGGAT